AACGTGCAGGTTTTCGATAAACTGAAATTTAATTTAAGTATTGCTAAAGTTATAAATTACGTACATGTGTGTACTTATATTTACTGGATCGTGAAGGTAAATTTACTTCATTGATAGCGGAATTATATATTATTTGGTAAATTGTATTTAAACATGTATTCCACTGTATAACCTCTATACAGATTTAGAACGAGTCACACAGTGCTAGTTAAAACACTATAACCAGTTCAATTACCGTACTAGACTAGACTAGACTAGACTAGACTAGACTAGACTAGACTAGACTAGACTAGACTAGACTAGACTAGACTAGACTAGACTAGACTAGACTAGACTAGACTAGACTAGACTAGACTAGACTAGACTAACCAGTTCAATCACCGTATACAACACTGAAATGTAAGACTCAAATTATTATTGTTTAGTACTAGCGATAACGAGAAATAAATTTACAGCTTTGAAGCTGTTTTTGGACAGCTAGCAAAATTTGGTGTAATTCAACAGCCGCAAAAATAAAAATAGTAATATCAATTATAGGATAATATGGTTATTTCTACTAATTAATGAATTATTTACAATTACCTCTCATGATCCTTGGCTGCACTATGATGTTAACTTACCATTTTTTTGATTATTTATCAAATACCTCTCCGAGTAAAGGGTGATACGGTCAAAATTTGGTCAAAGGAAAACGCGTGTAAATCAGTGAAATCGTTTATTTAAAAAATCAAATTAAATTTCTTTTTCAAGTTCAATTAGTATAAAATTCAGGAAAAATATTCAGTTAGGCTTCCGCTTTTCCAAATCCGAATTGCCGGGCCTTACGCTTGATCCCTGCCATCAGATTTTGTACAGCCACCTTGTCCACCTTCTTCGCCGCAGAAAGCCAGTTTGCCTTGAACTGCTGCTCGCCCTTAGCAGTTTTTTTGGTCTTCTTTAGGTTCCGCTTGACAATAGCCCAGTATTTCTCAATTGGGCGGAGCTCTGGCGTGTTGGGAGGGTTCTTGTCCTTGGGAACCACCTGCACGTTGTTGGCGGCGTACCACTCCATGGCCTTTTTACCGTAATGGCAAGATGCCAAATCCGGCCAAAACAGTACGGAACAACCGTGTTTCTTCAGGAAAGGCAGCAGACGTTTATTCAAACACTCTTTCACGTAAATTTCTTGGTTGACAGTCCCGGAAGCTATGAAAATGCTGCTTTTCAAGCCACAGGTACAGATGGCTTGCCAAACCAGATATTTCTTTGCGAACTTTGACAGTTTCATGTGCTTGAAAACATCTGCTACCTTTCCCCTTCCTTTTGCCGTATAAAACTCCTGTCCCGGAAGCTGCTTGTAGTCGGCTTTGACGTAGGTTTCGTCGTCCATTACCACGCAGTCAAACTTCGTCAGCATCGTCGTGTACAGCCTCCGGGATCGCGCTTTGGCCGTCGTATTTTGTTTATCATCGCGATTTGGAGTCACTACCTTCTTGTAAGTCGATAATCCGGCTCGTTTTTTGGCTCGATGCACGGTTGTAGACGATACACCCAGCTTATTTGCGGCATCTCGGAGAGAGAGGTTAGGGTTTCGCTTGAAACTACCGGCAACTCTCTTTGTCGTCTCAGCGGCTTCCGGTTTTCGATTTCCCCCCGATCCAGACTTCCTGGCTGTCGACAAACGTTCCCCAAACACTTTAATTACATTTGTAACGGTTGATTTGGCAACTTTTAGCGATTTTGCCAACTTTGCGTGCGAGTAGCTCGGATTTTCGCGATGCGCGAGCAAAATTTTGATACGCTGCTCTTCTTGCTTGGACGGCATTTTGACAACTGAAGAGTGAATTCCAAAATCAAAATAGGAGCAACATTCTACACACACACACCTTCAAAATGAGGGGTGTTCAGGTTTTTTAAATGCAAAATTGAAAGAAATACGTCAAGTTGATATTGACCAAATTTTGACCGTATCACCCTTTATATAACTCACAGATGCCTTGTTTATTTCTGGTCTCTAATGGATTGGTCCTGAATTTGTTTGATATCCTGTTTGAAGTAATTCTATTCCTTATCCCATGCTTGGCATACGCAGTTTTGGTCACAAACTGCTCATTTGCTAATAACTTTGCACACAGTTGACAAAACGTAGTTCTGTTTGAAGCAGTAGATAGAATACAGTTTAAGCTTGTAATGAGTTCGTAGGCAAAGGTAGATTTTAATTCTAGTAATAAACTGTATTTGTTTTTGCGTTGTAAAAATGAAGTGAGAAATGCTCGCTGCACATCTCGGACTTTAAGTGTAAAAATTCATTAGTGTTGATTCAAATGTTAAGATTTACCTACTCTTTACTTATTTTTAGTAAGCTATGATCCTAATCTATAAATTACTTTAAAGAAAATCAATTTTCAATAACTGAGTGAAAAGTTATTGAAAAATGAGCAGTTGGTGTGTACAACTGTGCATGCCAAGCACAGTCCTTAGTCCATTGAAATCACGTTATTTCTTTGATTCCAGCTTGTACGTGTCCTCATGTCATATGATTCACCATGCATAAAGATAATGGGTTAAAAGGGAGTAAAGCATACATAAAGGTAGATTAGTATTAGTTGTACCTGATCCAAACAATAGAAAGAAGCATAGACAAATTAGTAGGAAAATAAAACTAATATGTAACTAAAAGGACAATGGATGAGTGTTAGTTCCGGGATCATTTTAGTATTAAGAGTTATGTTAGTTTTGATCCGTATTCAGCCCTGCCAACCCTGCTCCAGCACTATTTGCAGCAATTGTGATTAGATTATGCGACACTGCTACTACTACTATGTTAGATTATGACTTGTCAATTTTCATAGAGAAGAATACTGTTTTCTAACGCAACGCAATGTTTCAATGAAGGTGTCTTTCAAAAAAATCACTCAAACAATTTGCTTTTTGAAAATTTGCTCAAAAGGGTTTAGTTGACACATTATACCTTACCGAAAACTAAAGTATCACAATCCTAATTCTTATTTCCAACCTATCAACATATTTAACATATATATTTCCTAAAACTTCACTTATTCGTAAGCGCCTGATTGAAGATATGACTTTCACTATTGACATTGCCTGTAATTAACAAATATACTATATATTAAGATTTATAATACAACTTTGAAAGGCTAGTTGCCTCCCTAAGCGGACCCCCACGTCTTATCTCTTATGTTAACTGACTTTCTGAATTTTCTTATTGAAGTTCAACTTGATGATTATTTAGTTTTATTTAATAAATAGCTGAAATCTCTAATCTACCTACACAATCATAACCCATGCTTGTAAACTAAAATTTAACGTGTTTCAAGTACTTTTGGCTTTGACATATGTTAATTATATCTTTGTTCGTCCCAGGTGACACCTTCAAGTGACTAAAATGCTTCACGTTGAAGTTAGTTTCCTAGCTAATTTTAAATTGTATATTGTATAGGGTATATGTTCAAATTACGCTCTCACGTTTCCACTATGTCGCACCACAAAAATACGTATGGGTATGTCACAATAGAAGCACGCCACAGTGGAAATCCAGAGCCATAGTTCAAACACTTATCCCAAATCAAAATAAGCACGTATAAGATTAGTTACAATACCATGTACAAAAATGGTGTTTAACATTGTTCCCTGAGTAATACTTTAATGAAATCAACAATGAAAGCTTGTCACGCAAATAGAAGTAGCACTGTTGGGCACTTTCAGAAATATTTCAATAGTATAATTCCCAAATAAATCTATCTGCGTAAAAATTAATAAAATAAGAGTGATTTGCGGAAAAACCCGCCAGTATCGCACCCAACGTCAGTGCCTATACGTAAGCGTACTACAACGCGGCTCTCAAAAAAAGGAGTAACAAGTGTGATACTATAACTGCTAGACTAGATATTTGGTTTTCTCGTGCAGTGGTTCATCAGAGAGGGGAAGCTCAGTAATCCCAAGTGAATGTCCATGGTGCCATTCTATCGCGACATGAGCCAACAACGCCGACCATAAACCTACCGTCTCCAACACTTCACTATAAAGCATGAAATTAAGCCAAGGTACAAAAACTAGCCAAGGGGAGGGAGTTTTTCTAGCGAAGTCTTCATTATGAAATTATTGGATAGTAACCACTTTGTTCGTACACTTTACACACACGTCAAACAAATACAATGCAAGCTTTTAACGAAGACTGTCGCCAAATGTTATAAAAAGTCATAACCACAAACTTTATCTAGGGTATTGAACGACTTTGTACTGTTTATCAATATTCAGCAGAGATATTTTTCACAATTTCATATCGATAAGTTGTAACAAACGCTAGAATCATATTTAAATAGATCGTACAGGGCAAATTGTATCTTTCGGGGAACTAGTTCGGGAAAACGATCCTTTCGGGGAACTGGTTCATTTGGGGAATAGTATTTCGGGGATAAAACTTTCGGAGAAAAGTCGTACAATCACAGTCCACTACAATGTCCACTGACTCTTTTTCGTGCTGGGATTGCTCGAACAGCAACCAACATTGTTCCAGAAACCATTACGAACTAAGTTAATGACAATGACTATTACCGCTATAGTTCAACATTAGGGATATTTAGGCTGGGTTCCATTTGGTGAATTTTCATTTACCTTATAATAAACCTGCTTTTGTAACAGACTTATTTCTGACAGACCAGAAATCAATTTTGAGCAACACCTTCTCGAAAATCGAAAGATCAACAACAGAGGGATTTTGAACATTATAATTTATTTGCGAAGTGTCAAATTTAAGTGAAAATTCACCAAATGGAACACAGCCTTAGGCCGATATGAGGAACATTAACCCTATTTATGTGATTTGGTCGATGGTCAAAAATCTATTGACACGATTATGATACTATTCAGACCGTCACACAACTACACATGTGGTTTAAAATGTTTAGCTGATCTATGCTTGAACATTTATTCGATCCAATGATAATGTAAACATATGGATAGACACCTAATAACAATAAGATTGTATGAAATAAACCAACCTCTAATCTTTCGAGTTTTCCTTTTAACCGATCATAATCATCACGAATATCATGAATTGCCTTATAATTCGTACAATGCCGGTTTCTTAATACTCGGTGTTTTCCAGAACTGTAATAAAAAGAGTTATCGAATTTGTGTTAAAAAAATATTGATAAAATGTACCTTAGTGGAATGCTATCGCTTGTCACACTGCTGCACTCACTTTCTTGCTCGCTGTACTTTTCTCCAAGATCTCCGATTATTCCTGGACTAGATATTCCGATTGGATCTGTTTCTTCACTCATACCCAAACTCGAGTTCATTATATTTTCATAGCGGAAAGACACGTTGTCCTCAATATGGGATGGGTTGATTTCCATGATGTTGTGATCTGCGTACCATGCTTAATAAATTTTTATTTCAATTTTGGTATGTTAATTAAATTTGTTATCAAATGGAAGTTATTTGTCTGTCAGTCCGATCCTGGAAAAGGAGTTGCATATTTTTGAAAGATGAAATACTTTCACCTAGCATTATAATTTATCTTGGCTTGCATCAGATTGCTTCATGACACCCTTCACTATATAAACTCTTGATAATTAATTAGCTCAGTCATTGTTTACCAGTCCAACTAACTACATTACTACTGCTTAACATGGTGTAGGAATAAAACTGCTACGCAAATGGCGATCTAACGATAGTTTTTTCTTCTTCTTCTTATTCGCATTTAAAGCTTATTGCTTAGTGCATATTAGCTTATTGCGTGCTCTCAACTTAGTGTTCTAAATGCACTTCCGCAGTTATTAATTGAGAGCTTTCGATGCCAATACCAATGCATGAATTTGTATATTGTGTGGCAAGCACAATGATACTGATACAGGGAAGTCGAGAAAATTTCCAACCCTAAAGATTCCCTCGACCGGACCGGGAATCGAACCCACCGCCTCCGGCTTAATAATACCATGCCTTTATTGACTAGGCTATGAGGCCCCTAACGATAGCAGTCATGGCGAATAGAAGAAATAGAAATAGATTTTTTTTTTCCTTTGGTTTGTTTTTTCTGTCGATCTTGTTTTCCGTGCTGAGCACCAATGCTACCGACGTGCCAGGAAGGCAGCTCCCACACCTGGACCCTACCTATCGACCCATCAACTCATGAACCGGGGACCAACGGCTTTACTTCCCATCCGAAGGAAGGCGTGATCAGAGATGTTATGCCTCAGAACATCCCGGTGGCGCCGACTGGAATTGAACCCAGGCCTGCTGGGGTGAGAGGTAATCACGCTTACCACTACACCACCGGCGCCGTTATATAGAAATAGATGATGGTTTCAAAATTTTGCACATTTATTTATTATCCGAAAAAAATATTTGTTATTTTTTATATTACTTTCTTTTAGATACACGGTTAGAAAAAAGTCCCCAAAATTAAGTTCTTTTCACTCATCTCGGCACTATAGTGCAGGAACCCAAAAGTAGGTAAAGCGGGTCAAAGTAATTTTCATTTACTTGTGTGCAGTTCGTATGGAATTTTCCACTGGCTTTTTAATCAAAAGTAAGTTAGTTGTACCCAACAGTAGGTAAATATGATTATACCCAACGTTGGGTTCCCACACTTTACTACCCCTGTTGGGTGGTTTTGCTCCTTCGTTTTTGACAACATTAGTAGGAGAAAAGGAGACAAACTAGTCAAAAGTAGGTAAAAGTGAACTGGCCGTTGGGTACTTTTTTCTTACCGTGTAGATTTCCACCATTCTATCCCCGTAACCAAACAAAAAAAAACACATTATTCTTAAAATAAAAGCATTTTAAATCATTCTCCCATACCTTGCAGAGCAACATTTTTCTAGTTCTCCTATTTGCCACAAGCGGCGCTTTATGTTATCGCTAGATCGTCAATGGGCTTTTCGACCAATGTACTGTCGTTCTACGCATATCTGTCCCATGTTACTTTTGGACGGTTTTCACTTTCGTTCATAAAACAGTACTTTTTTATGTAGACTTTGGAATGAAAATAGAATAACATATAATTTGTTCTGGGTTTGTATAAAAACAACATCAAGCCTAATTGTCCCATGTTAAAATTCTACGCATAACCGTCCCACAAAGATTTTCTTGACTGAATCTATTATTAGCGAATCGATTTGTGTACATTATGTGTGATTGTTGAAACAGGATCTATATAATCAAAAGAAACGGTATGAACCATTATAGGAAGTGGAAGTTTTATTTTATGTAGATAAATATTAAGAAAAACGGGATTTCATATTAAAACACCAGTTTCTAATTTCAAACAATGCATTACTAGACACTTACACTCGCCACCCCCCACACTCCCTCTATAGCGTCTACGTGTTTCATGGAAAGCCCTTTATATAATATAATAATGCGTAGTGTAAAGGCCAACTCCGTACGGGTTTTTTGACAGATAATGCATGGGCTAACTGTCAAAAAAAACCTGAAAGCTTATCCATTGTGCGCCGGCCTTAACATGCGTAGAATTTCCTACTTCATTGCAAATTTCTAGGCATAACAGTCCCATTAAATATTGTTCGTATAAAAATAGGCTTAACTAATTTCATTAAAGGTAATTTCTGTAGTTTTCACTAAAACATATTGATTCTGTTGAAATGTGAACAATGCGCTAACTTATTTTAACGTATATTTCTTACGACGAGCAGAAATGATTCAAAACATTCACCCCTATTATGTATTTCGTTTCGAACGAAATTCTTATACAAAAAAATATTTTTTTGCATGAGAATTTCGTTTGAAACGAAATACAGAATAGGGGTGATTATTCGCTATTTTTTCAGAAGCAACTTTTGAAATATGGGACTGATATGCGTAGAACGGCAGTGTAGCACTGATAAATTGAACTATTCCCATTTTGCTTGAAATTTAATCAATTTGACATTAAGCTCAGTTTAATCATATCGAATGATTAAAAATTAATAATCTTTTCCTAAAAATTATCATCTGATATTAAACCCAGTTTAATTATTTGTTATTCTATTTTAATAATTTTTTATTGAATTTTAATCTTTTTTGATTATATATTAATATTAAAAAAGAATAAATTTAATACTGGAAAGATTATTTCGAATTTAATCATGCATGACTACTGCCGAATAAATCATGGCTCGGACTCAATGAGGTGAAGCGGGAATCTGCATACTTTTTAAGCTTTTTTGATTTAATTTATCTTTGAGTGAGAGTGCGCCAGGCGATTGGCAAATCAAAGTTGGCACTCGTGGAGAATAGAAGAACTATGAGAGTGATGATGGTTTCAACATTTTACACGGTGAGGTGTACGAGTGTAATCTTATAATGCTTTTATTTGGCAAATGGGGCATTTTATTCAAATCTGGTTAATGCTACGTTAGTAGAAAACTTAAGGACTACTCAATAGACATGTAATATAGAAAAAAATAATTTCTTTCCAGATGTTTAGGTGTATACATAGACTTCAGCTTGTTACCACTGTAGCAGCAACCAGTGATGCAAAATATCATGACACTCACGTGACACTCGTCTTCGCATCAACCGACTATCGCTGAGAGATCGTTTTATCACGCAGTGAGAGTTAGAGCCATCCCTAATAAAAAATAACCATAAACGAACGATAACCCAAATCATTGAACTATTCCACAAATGGTTTGGATGATACCCAGAACAAATTAACCATACAATTTTTATTAGGGATGGCAAACAACAATCACCAATAATGGTCGCTGCTCACAAGCAAAACGTTACACTCGCTGCTGATGATGAAAAGCACAACGAAAACAGTGAAGACTTCTGCAGTACGATCATGAGAAAAAGCGAAACGACAGAAGAAAATGAAAACAATGCCTACGCATTCCAATTTCGTCTCGGCAGGCGCGACTGTGTGAGTTACAAACAAAACAGGTATCATGAAACGGAAGCAGTTGGGCTCACTCACCAACACACTCACATAAGCAAGCAAAGCGGCAACTGCTTCAAAACGAGCACAGATGAGTGTCGTGATTGTCGGGAATGACCAGATCAGTGATGGATCACAACAGAAGACGACATTCATCAGTTGCTTTTTACTTCTTTCGTCAACTTGATGGATGGTCATGGAAAGAGCTTCGACGAGCACATTGATAGGAATGTACCAAGCGTTACTAGCATCAGCTGTTTGGCGATCGTGATTGTGATAGGTCGCAGCTCTGGCAGCAACCAGATTTAAAGAAAATGCTCCATTTGCAAATTAAAAGCATTTTAAGATTGCACTAGTATACCTCCCCGTGGAAAGTAAACCATCATCACTTTCATAATTCTTCTATTCTCCACGAGTGCCAACTTTGATTTGCCAGTTATGAGAATAAACGTCAACCAAATCGTTTGTTTATTTCAAAATGAAAATTACATCATCGCATATTTTTATACATAAAGACTGACCAAAAGTAAGTAGGTACGCACAAAAAGATTTGGAATTTTTTTTTCCGTCTATCTTGTTTTCCATGCTACCAACGTCAGAGAGGCAGTTCCCACACCTGGACCCTACCTATCGACCCATCAACCCAACGTAATTCGTGATTCAATAAGTTTAAAAAGACTATTAATAGCTGCTTTACAGTACTTTTATTAAAACTTCAAAGTTACAACATTAGATGGTTACATTTCTCCAGATCGACTGAAATCTCGAACCTTCCTCTGGGTGGAGCCCATCAGCGCCCGCACAGTGGAAACGGACACGGAATAAGCGCATTTCTTCCATTTTGCCCGCATAGGCTGGATGTCCTTGACTGCCCCGCCGCATCGTCGAAGTCGCTGCTTTGAAATTGCCCAGTATTTTTCAATTGGTCAAAATTCCGGGCGAATCGGAGGATTCATTAGCTTGGGGACAAAATCGATCTTGTTGGCAGCACACCACTCCAAAACCACCTTGGAGTAGTGGCAGCGGGTCAAATCGGGCCAAAAGATGACTTTGCCCCAATGCTTGCGGATGAACGGCAAAACACGCTTGTTCAGGCATTCTTCGATGTAAACTTGGGATGTAATCGTTGAGGATGTGACGAATGGTTCCGTTTTCAGGCCACAACTGCAAATCGCTTGCCAAATCATGGCCTTTTACGCGAACTTGTCGGCAAACATGAACTTGAATCTTCCCGGTACATCCCAACAAACATTGCAAGCTGAGTAACAGCCTATTCAGGCAAAAATATGCTTCTTAAGCTAAAAAAAAATAGCTTATTCAGCTCAAATTGTTTGTTGGGATCCCCACGTCCAGTAGCGATGTGAAACTTTTGACCGGGAAGCTGCTTAAAATCGAGTTTGACGTATGTTTCGTTATCGATCAAAGTGCAGTCCTTGTGTTTAGTCAAAACACGGTCGTACAAGAGCCTTGCACGCTTTTGGCCACGGAATTCTGCT